TGGTACCATTCCATAGAGATTCCAACAAGACTGACTGTCTTATTACATAATAAACCTTTCATTAATTTACTAAAATTTCCTGCACGGTTGTATTTTTCATGGTTGTTCCATTCTTCAGATACAGTGATTGAATAAAATTTTCATGCCTTTCTTAGCTTAACTACTTGTATTGACTTTTTATGGTACTGTACTAGATAAGAGTATATTTTGTGAATGATTTGGTGGTTTCTTTCCAAAGCACAAATATATTTTCTTAGCAAAGAGTGATGAAAATGTTAAACGACTTAAATGTTAATGGTATTAATCCATCATTTGGTAATGCATTTCAACCGTCTTGGATAAGGTGGATGTAATTTATATACACCGATAACGTAAAGAATTTTTGTAATATCAATTTTAACATGTAGTAACACGTAAAATGTCATATTTTCTAAGTGACTAATCCCGTTTTTTGCGAACAATTACATGTATTATCTTTTAGGTAATTTAATAATATAAAAAACCTATTATATGTAAGATTATCATATTCAAGATCCTGATATGAATTAAAGTTTATGCTTATAGTTGAGACATGCTCATCTAGGCACGAGTTATGTCGGCACCCAGATATTATGAAAAATGAATAAGAGGTTCCACCACATTGTCGTCTGGGTATGAGGCAGTATGAACAAGTGTTCCTGAAAATGGCGGAGGTACATGTGCTCAATGGGGGCTGGATATCACTTTTGCGATAAGGTTTCACATTTGCAGACAGATGGTTCCGCATTTGCGACCAAGTAGTCGCTTTTGCAATGACTGAGATGTTTTGGACTGCTTTGCAAATGCGACCTCTGGATGTCTGACGCACATATCATATTTGCGATTAATGTTTCGCACTTGTGATGTCTGCAACTGGGTAAAAGATTCGGAAATTGAGACTAAGCTCATTTTACACCCTTTTTCAATCATAAGCTCTCTAGATTCGATTTTTGAAGAATTGTTTCTCCCAAAATTCATTGGTAAGCATCTTTAACTAGTTTTCAATCAATTTCAACTACATTTCATGATTTTTTAATATCAAATCTATGAATTGTATGGTAAAAATAGGTATTTTGGGTAGAATTAAGGAATTTTATAAATTGAGATTTAGACCTCAAATTGAGGTTGGATTTTGAAGAAAATCACACAAACGGGCTCGGGAGTCAATGCGTAATCGGGTTTTAATACGAATCTTGGATTTCGACCAAGCGAGCCCGGAGTTAACTTTGTTGACTTTTTTTAAAAAAAAAATGATCAAATTGAACCTTTTTCATTCATGGGTAGTTTCTAAAGTTTATTTTGGATTGTTTGATTGATCACTACAAAAAAAATGGAATTAGCTACGAACGTCGTCGCTAATCTGTCGCTAAAATACTCGTAGCTAGCAGAATTTCTTGATAATCTGTCGCTAAATCAGATTAGCGATGGATTTTTCTGCTTAGCTACAGAATTTATCCGTCGCTAAAACCTGATTTTTTTAGTAGTGGATAATTGGCTAGATTCAGTTGGTTTGGAAGCTTGTTTGAAAGGTAAGACCATGATTGATTATTGATTGGGTTAAGCAAATAGGTACGTATCGTGGTTAATCTTAACTTGAGGGAATTAAGACTTTATTGGTCTATTTGCTACTTGATTTATGTGTGAGGATGAGTTATATATACAAAGTGACGAGTGTATATCTGTCATCATGGGTTAAGCATGTGGGGCGGGTTATTTAGTTGTTGTCCTCTATTACTTAATTCCTATAGTGCTCTGTGTTATTACGTGTTCATGCTTTAAATGTTACTTGTTTCTACTTGTTAAATTCATGTCTTCGTTCGTTACATGCCTTAACTTGCTATATGTTTTCACTTATTCGTGTCTTCATTTGTTGACTGCCTTTACTTGTTTTATGATTCCATGTATTGTTAAATAGTCGCTTTTGCTTGTTTATTGCCCGTAATTGGTTATTTCTCTTGTTGTCTTCGTCGTGAAATACGTCGTAGTTGTCTGTAATATTGTGCACATGTTGTTATGATATTTGAGATTGGGTTGCACGTCGCAACGGTATTGATATTATTGTTTGGGATCGGGTTGCACGCCGCAATGGATATTGGTATTCTTGTTTCGGATTGGGTAGCACGCCCCAACGATATTGGTATTTTTGTTTGGGATCGAGTTGTACATCGCAATGGTTTTTGTACATATATATTTGTGGATCGGGTTGCGCGCTGTAATAGAGAAGACATATTATGACTGTTCTTAATTGTTGAATTCGTATCCATGTTGTATTAAGAAATCGAGCATAGGTGATATTCTGGGGTCCTGTGTTATGTATTTATTGTTCCATTTTTTTGTCAACTATTGTTTCCTCTATATCTGCTATTATTTTTACCTATACTCGTACATGTTTATAGTGAATACTTTGTTATAGCCTCGTCATTACTTCGTCCTGATCATGCATTTCAATGGTCTCGGATAAGGTGGATGTAATTTATATATACGGACAATACAAAGAATTTTTATAGTATCAATTTTATATACTAGGCAAGAAAAAAACTCTAGGGGTCAAGACAAGCAAATTTAGAAATCCTTTGTTCATCTAACCGTACAAGAACATGGAACATAATGATTTGGGTGAGTTTAGTACGGCACGATTAATTTTAAAAATCAAAAAACTTTTCAGGAAAAAGTCATTTAAGATGTTTCATCCATACGAAAAATGAGTTCTTTCACTTGTATATGAAAGTTGTTTTTCTTACAATAATGTCAAATTTTGGATTTCATTTTACTTATATTGATTTCTAATTCTTTTACATTAATACTAATTAAGCTAAATAATACACTAATTAAGTGAAATCAACAACAACAATATATTCCTGCCTTTAAAAAGGCAGAAAGACTTTTTCCGGAAGACCCTCGGCTCAAGAATAGAAAGAGACAGGGGCGGATTTAGGGGGGTTACACTGTATATACAAAGCAAAATCTGTTTTTTATCTCTATATATTAAGTTTTGAACACCCTTAACACAATCCAAAAGTGTAGTTTAGTGGTCAAGGGGAGGTTCAAAATCTACGTAAGGTCATGAGTTCAATTCCCACTAGCTACAAAAAAAAAATTTTAAAACCCCTTCGTGGAGATCCTGCCTCCGCCACTGGGAAGAGGAGGGGCAATAACAAGCAAAGCGGGAAAGAAGGAATAGGCTTTCACAGATTTATAGAACTGTGAGGGGGAGAATGTCTATTTTACAAAGCTGAAGAGGGATTTTGCTTTTAAAGCAAAATTGGGGTGTAAACTTTCAAACTTTTCATTAGTCGTCTGTTTTTTTTTAATAATTACTTGTGTCATTCTTTATTGATTCAAACGTCAATTTTAATTACTAGTTTTTGGACACGTTTGCACTTGTATTCTATACTGATCAATATAAATATTTTTTAATGGACGTACAAATAATATAATAGTTTAGCAATTTAACTTTGTGTAAGAAAATAAAAGAAAAAATTAAATACGCTGAAATCTTCTAACAACACCGAGCAATGAGTGAAAATAATTCATCAAATTGCTGCTTAATTAAAATAAAAAGAAAAAAATAAAGAGACATGACTGTATAATAGTTAAACTAATATTGTGCCATGATTAGTTCACTCGAACAAGATCACTGCATAAGATAATACGAAGAACAATTTCACAGTCCTACTCCATATTACATAGAATTGGCTAAAGATAAAATAATGCTAACTTTGGCGCTTACAAGAAATGAAAAGAAAATGAAGTCATTTCTTTTTAACTTTCTAATAGAAGAAACAAGACTACAAAAATTTTGAAATAGTTTCAAGTACCTTTCTGTTATTGTATCCCACCAACTTTATCTGCTAGTGATTTGGTCGAGTCTAAAAGCTGAAAGATTTTGCAAAAACTTCACCTAACTCCTACCGATTCCAATAAGCTGAAAAGTTTTGGCAAGAATGAGTTATATCAGAAGGCTTTAATTAATTTGATAAAGTAAAACCGATCGAAAGAAGATAAGCTTTACATGGTAATGCTTATAAATATTATTGCTTTAAAATTTCACTTATATAAGTTGATTATTGATCACCATTTATTTAACTATCTAATGATTCTCTGCAACGGATGAAATAATTCTTTGTTATTTATTACATTTTCATTCTTTGGGATACAAAAAGGCATACGAACTTCTTGACGAAATAATAAACTTTGTAATCAAACCATTACTTTTATTGGATAAAACCACTGAACTTGCACGTATGACTCTTACCTTTACTAATGAGACGTTTCGTGTTTGAATTTTTACAAGAAAACCAAAAGCCAAAATGATATTAAAACCTGGTCATGTAAATATATTTCACATTTGTGGACATTAACAGCTTCAAAATTTACTTTTACTTTTTTGTTATTCTTATTTAATTTTTTTTTTTGTTTTGTTATCTTAATAGAATGCATATTAAGAATTCATTTAGAATGTATAAAAAACTGAAAGGTCAAGATAATAGAAAATAAAGAAGATAGAATATGAGAACGGTTAAAATTAGCTCTAACATATACATGTGTTGCAGCTAATTGAAGAGACACAACACCATTTATTATAGTGATAAATAATTGCAATTTACTATTAGATATTTTGACCTTTTTGTTATTTTAATAGAATGTAATTTTACGTTTTAGTATAGAGTTTTATATAGAGTTGAGTTTGATTGAGGGATAAAAATGTCACTCATCTTTTGATGGGCATTTACGTAATCTAACTTTAACTTTAAGGGTTTCTCATGATATGATGATTGTAGCCGGTAACATGTCATATTTTTAAGTGACTAATCCCACTTTTTATGAACATGCAATTTTTTTGGGGGGGGTAATCTAGTAGTATAAAAACCTATTACACTTTCAGTACATAGTTAAACTCATTTGGCAACCTATGGATTCGAATCTCGAACTTGAAACTTTCCAATTCAAGAATAACTAGAATTCATCTGAAAGATTCCAAGTTTGGAATAAAACACACAACACTTTATTTGCTTGGAATAACGTCGTCTTCAAGAGAACAATGATAGATGAGAGCAACAATTTTAAAAGAACAAAACAAACCAAATACAACCAAAACAGAATAGGAAAGATGCAAAGAATACTTTTACAACTGAGAAAGAAAACACTCCATTGGAACATATCTCCGAAACCACGCGGAGACTTGTTTCAAAATCACAATGCGTGTACAAACAAAAGACAAACAGGCTTTCTTTATTGGAACAACAAGGACTGGACAGAAGAAAACACGAGTGGCACCATATCCCATGACCCCAGATTTCCAACAAGCTCAATGTCCCGATTCTCTCCTGTATAAAGGAGCAAAATTAGTAAACGAAAAAACAGGGAAACAAAGAAAAGAAAACTGTTGCAGAGAGGTTTTGAAGAAACCGTTAATAAATCATTCATAATAACCCATACTCGTATACTATCAAATAGATTAATTTATATCAGAATTAAACGAAGGGTATTTTCTAATCTGCATCTCGGTCGAATATAAGTAAGAGCAGAGTGTAATTCAGAATGTAAAGGGAGGAATTAGTTTACTAGTATGAAATTTCATGGATAAAGTATGCCAGCTTAAAAAGAATATAGCAACAGTTTAGCGAAGACTATCAATACAAATAAATTAGACTGACCTTTCAGTTCACTGTGCGGCCTTGGATCCAGCTTCAGGAGGGAATATGGTAAGGTTGAATTTGATGCTTTTAGCTATCTTGCTTTCCAGTATATCTTTTGCAGATTTGACCGCTTTGCTTGTGTTTTCCAGCCGCATCTCATAAAGTTCAGATATATTAGCCAGCTCAAATGGCACAGCGTCGAGCTTATCACAAGACATAAGAACAAGGTTCCTAAGCACGGGGAAGTTAAGCTCTGAAGCCTCCCAAGTTTCAAATTCTGCCCTTTCAATCCACAAAACGCGGAGTGCACTAAATCCCATCTTTGGCTTCCAGGAATCACCCGCGAACGCGTTTTCTTTAAATTTTAGGATCTCAAGGGATTCCAATTGCCCCAATTTTTCTGCCTCACTCCAAGCAAACCTTGTATTTGTCAAAGTTAACTTCTTCACTGTACGTACAAGTTGGGAGAATGTTGGAGGGAGGTGAGGTGCTTTATTCATGTAAAGAACATCATTCAACAATTTCAATTGTTCCAGGCACTTAAGCTCTGCAAGATTGTTGATTCCACCCTTGTAAGCACCAAGAAAAGCTGCCATTTGTCCTCGAATGCTCAATTTTTTGAGATGACAAGCCTTTGCGAGTACTTCTTTCTCACAACTTTCTGGTGCAACCATACAAAGAGTTTGTAGACAAGAAGCTTTACCT